TTAAAGTGGTTCATTTGCGAGTCGATCGTGATCCTGCATGACCCATCAAAAAGACTACAAAGGAGCAGGACTTATCAAGGTTTCGGTGGGACAGATTGTAGAGCAAAAGCCTCATTACCGTTCTTACTGTAAACAGAAATGTCGCTTCAATTCCGATCTTGACAGACAGTGCAGGTTTAGTAAGTTGCTAGCTCACTTCAGTGGGGACACGCAATTCTTCATCGTTTTCTCCAGCGAAAAAAGTTTTACGAGGAAACCATTGCCAAACAAATAAAACGATCACGTTCTGGCTATGAACATCGAACGTGCAACCTCTCGCAACAAAGTTGCTATAAGTACAACAAAATGCTGTTTTTTAGGAAGTCTCTGGCAATAGTTAGACGCTCATGATTTCTTCGATACCGGCCAGAAAACTGACAGCCCTTTACTCAAAGAGCATAATGGTGGACGTGATGAAGCACTAATCCCACTCCGCTACCGCTCGTAGTCCTCCCAGCAGGGCTGTACTCCACCCCGTAAAGTCAAGCCCGCGCGGGAGTAGTGCCGACGTAAGCTGCTCGACCTCATTAGCAAAGAGGAATGGCCATCCTGCTTTCCAGATCTTGAATGCAAGGTTCACGATAAGAAAGGTTATTGAGTACTTCCTCTAGAAATACTCAGCGCCCCCCACGGGTGGTAGAAGGGACCCTCTCGTTCCCCTAATCTGGGCGATTAGGGCACAGTGGAAGTCCCGTTGCTGCCGTAGTTCGCTTTCCCGCCCCTCGATCGGTGTCACGTTAGACGAGTGTCGAGACAATACAGATTGCAACTATTCGTTCTGGACCCACCCACAATCAGCTGACCGCCGAGCGTTGAGGCGATGTTTTCTACATTCTTTTTTCCTCTGCTATTCTTTTTGCTGCCGCCATCCCCTATTTAATTTCCTACTCTTAGAGGCTGAAGAAGATGAGCTACTTCTAGGTGTTACTAGGGTTTTTTTTTGTTTACGTATATCTAGAAGTGAATGGATTTTTGCTTACCATAGTCTGTTATTCGCACCAGAACCCACACGCACGCAGTGAGACACATTGTATAGCTCGTCCGAATGCCCCATTCGTCTTCATTCTTCTGGTCTCATTCTCGTCCAGCCCCCTTTTTAACGGTTTTCGAAGCCTTTTTCACTTCGGAAACACCGATTCACGAAGTTTCTTCACTTTCATCGCACTATTTTCGGTCTTGTTTTCCATTTTTCATCATAGTCTGGATTACCCAAAATTGTTGAACTGTGCCTTTAACTCGTTTGACTGGTCTCTGATTAAGAAAGGATCTATTGGATTTGCAGTCCCAATTTGGAGACTTGGAAAGCAAGATTGAAAAACGGCTGGGGAGAAATGGAGGACACCTACATGTAACATGTAAGAAGTTCGAGAGCAAATTCTGGGTCTCTACCGTGCTCATAGGTAATATTTTGAAATGTTATTGTAGTTCCTTGTACGGCTTTCTATGAACCTCGGCATAATTGTATTACTAAATTTATGTTTTGTTTAACTCTTTACGAGGTTTGTAAATATGCTTTATTGGGCTGACGTTTCGGCGGAGTCGCCGTCTACAGAGCCTGAAGGGATCATAACAATCTATGACTATCCGATCAAATGTCTCCATCACCCCACTAAAGTCCGAGACCCCCAGAGCATGCGCATTTGGTCGGATACCAATCGACCAGGGTCAGCTGGTGTATGTCTTCTTTGAAGTGTCGTCGGGATGGCTAACTTTATATAGGGTCGTAGCTCCCGCGTGATTGCGGGACATTCTTCCCCACTAATCATTTTGGGATTGATGACCTGTATCCAAATTGCCCCGAGGGTTTATGCGCGCACTAATGCGGCTCCTGTGCAACGACCTCCACGGTGACTTCAAAAACGCCTCCGTTATGCTTTTGAATTCGATGACCTACTAAGCAGTAGACTCTTTCCATCGCCTCATACCATCTATGCGCTCCTTAACCCTCACGTGGAGTGGTCTTGCCGTTTCTACAATTTACTCATCACCACGATCACGGCAAGTAATTTTGTAGACCGTCCCAGACGTGTTACAATCATCCTCTTTTCCAGCTGGACAACCTACACAGTTTGAGGTTGCACGTAGGCGATCGTATAGCCTGTTCCAAACCAGGTTCTTCTTTAGATTGAAGGGTGCAATTAAATTCTCCAAACCCGATCTCTTTAGACACTTTCCAATGAAGACACTGACCTCATCAGGAATAAATGGTGGTATAAAAGGCGTCTTTCCATCGATCGGGGTGCTACCATGTCTGAGGATCACACCGTCAGAAGAAGCTCTTCGTGTAGTTGGAAAATTGTAGTAGCCATCCGACCAAGCTATATCGCTGCCAATTTAAGCGACTCTTTTCGCTCTTCTTTTCCAGTGCAGACCGTAGCAGTGCGAAACATATTCCTAACGACCGCTCTTTCTATACATGTAAACAGTACAAGAATCAATGTGTGCTATAACTTACTACTATCACAACAAACCCTGTGGTTGTAGTGTGCTATAACATATAATGTTATCACTTGTGCATATAGAATTTATTGTCAGACTCAGCTTTTATTGTCCACAGCTTAGAAGCTTTGAATACATTGCCATGGATCGGCGCCCATGATTCTGGGACACTAATTATGGAGCACATTCTTCGACTTGGACAAGGCCTCTAATACTGTTGAGAAAGAAGCCTTGCGTAACCAGATTATTCTTGCTCACTGTTCAGGGATGCTTTTTCAACTTTTATGACAACTTCTCGACCAGAGTTTTGAAGGACATCTTCGTCAAGGTTTAGAGAGGGGCTCGATAGGGCCATAACATCCCACCGGCGTTCTTCATTGCCGCACTTGGAAACATCGTCGGCCATTCAGTTTAGGAAGACATTGGAGTGAGGGCGGTCAGCATACTAACGACACCGTGCTGCGAAATGAGTGCTGGTCGAATTCGACAACACCAGTGGAAAAATTGAATTGCGACTGAAGTTAATGTAATTATGCATAAGAAGCGGATTGGCACCTGAAGCTCCTCCTACGCTTGAGCAAACGAACTGCTCTGGATGCTCTAGCACCGCTCTACATACCTGGGTCTGGAAGTCAACATGACGAACGATCCAGCTCCGGTGCAAGGTAAGGAGGCGCATGGGCAGCATTCATAAATATCGAGGGAATAGTGAAAAAGAAAAAGACTGTCCGGTTCAGCGTTCACCTTTTTGACAATGTGGTCCTTCCTGCTTTGAAATGCACCTCGGAAACACCTTTTTTCCGACACATGCGTGTGCAGAGGGAAGAGGCGGATTTTCACTATTATGACCTTCCGCGCAATCATCAGGTTTCTTTTCAAAAGCTTTGAACTTTTAGAGCGTTATCTCTTACTCCTCGGGCAAGCACGGGTTCGAAATCTACCCGAAAACGGTGTCGCGCAAGCCGCACCCGCCGCGTATCGCAGGATTGCGATGGAAGATTGGAGCGCGCAAATTGGGAGGTAGGGAGTCCTTTAATTCTTTTCAACTCCATTGCGGTCTTGATCGTCGTTTATATAGGAGGAGTCATTTTAATTAATCAAGTCTAAGAAGCATAAAAACGAAAAAGAAACAGGAGAAACGATCAAATCTAATAAAAAAGAAAGACAATCAAATATTGCGTCATGTCGATTGGCGGGGAATCGGGGTGAGCACTGTAATTGCAGTGACATTTGCCGCATGCTGCATGGGAGAATGCCACAATCGGGGAGAAGTTCCGTTACCCGAGCAAGGACAGTCCTTCAGTCTCACTGGGTTGCGACATGGACGTATGAAGACGTGAGGTAATCGTTTTTGTTGATACTATCTTGATAAAAAGGATAGTATTTACAATAATGGGTGGAGGTGGTGCAAGTGGCGCTCTATCACATACGCATTTTTGCTGGTTCGAATCCCGAATCGGTATACGGTCAAGCCTTCTATCTCTCCGGGGTCGGTTAATTGGTACCAGATTCGCCTGCGGCGGAACAGTGCCGACTTTCATCGGTTGTTCACTGCAGGTCATGTGTAGGCCATACACGCATTCAATACGCTTTCATGATTCCGAATAGAAGCCGAGTGCGTGGGCGCATTCTTCAGACGCGATTGATCAATGTTCAAAGATGTTACCTTTTTACCCTGAATCGAATTTCTGTGTTGCATCTCGGAAGGCGATGAAATTCTAGGTGGGCGACGGTATTTGTCGGTTTTGGCGTCTAATTATCCGTCTTCGCCTTCTAGATGTTTCACTTACAGCCTATGAGGGAAGTGCAAAGGAACACCTGGGTGAAATTTCGAGTCCCGCCCGCAAAGTTGTGAGGTGGCACTGGAGAATCTGAGCTGCTGTAAAGGATCTGATAGAGCAGTGAAAGAATTAGAACTTTGTTTGCAAGGAATTTCCCCCTTTGTTCTACAAATGATCCAAATGGGTGGAGATAGTGTAGTGCCATGTGGTACACTTTCACACCGTACTCGAGGGTTGGCACGCCAATCAAGCCTGTCATCTCTTCTAGGTTGGATAAATAGTACAATATTCGTCTGGGAGGGTGAAAGCACTTTCTTCTTTATTGTTAAATGGCCACACAGGTCATTGTCCAGTTCGAATACGCCTTCGAAAACCTACTACAGTTCTTATTGTAAGGTGGGCGCATATCGGAACGGAATTGATCAAGGAAATAAAAGATTTTGCAATTAATTGTCTATCTAGAAGTTAGATTGACTGAATCAGGGTGGATCAGGGCCTAATTATTATATTACTGTTGTGTAATAATACGTCTCTCATAGCCCTCTTCCTTATCGATCAATTCCTTGAGTAATTGTTCTTGTTTTTCAACCCTACGGTTCCCTTCTCGAAGTATAGATACCATTCAGTGCCTGAAGACCACTTTGAACACATTTCTACTTCTTCATTAAATAAGTATTTTGAAAAGTATCGAACAATTTCTGTCGTCTTTACTTATGCCGCGGCTCAAAATATCCTTTGCAGAATCGAATAACACCTCGTACTGCGAGAAGTGTTTTCTTGCAATGGTCAAAGGGAAGTTTAGATCATCTCTCAGTAAACGGAGGATCTTCAGGGTTAGTGCTTGACTTTATTTATTTATTCATTTAATTATAACGTTGTGCATAAGGCAAAGGCAAGGAAAATGAAGTTAACAAATCAAAGTTAAAGTACAAACAGATCCTATATAAACTAGTGCTCACGAAAACGCACGATTCCAACTTACTCAGGCCCTTGAAAGTCGGAAGGCAGGAGACGTTATCACTACTGTAGCTTTAAATGACGTGATTTCAGACCATGCACGACAAGTGAAGCTATGCCGGCTTACCTAACTCATTTTTCTTAAATGAGTTCGGCTTTCGATTTCCTAGTTTTGTTTACTGCTTACAATAGTGCTCAGAAGTACTGAGCATACATTTTTTTTTAATCGTGACCTTTTTCATCATAATCGAACCATATGAAACCTTGGTGTTACGCCAAATCATGACGCCGACATTTCACAATATTTGATTGACGGATGTCTCAACTAGTGATAATTATAGAGGAAAGACTCAATTTCTGTAAAAGAAAGGCGGGTGGCGAAGACTTGAAAAAAATCATTTAATCACAGATCAAACGTAAGAAACATTGAAATGACTCAGACGAGGTGGAAAAATCGGGCTTCCTGATGAATGTGGCGCGGCAGGAATTATCAAGTCGAAGAGCTTCTGTATGATGGGCATGTGCACGGCGGTTTTTTTTTTCATATTTTGTTTGTGTAGTGTCATATAGTTCTGCACAGGACCTATCATAATGGCAGTTGCGTGAAATGATGAATAGCAGTTGGGCAGTTTGGCACTGTATTTTGGTCACAAGAGATGTCGCAACGATAGTGATCCAATCATTTTGCATGACGCTTCATATTTACTCCTGACCCTCCAATATTATTCGTTTCCATTTTCAGGATAAGGATTCTCGGAAGGCTCTAGTCGTATTGGATGGCTCTAGAGAATCCGCATTTCTTTTCCGGCAGATAGAAGACTCTGTGAAGCAGACTAATTTCAAACGACTTATGATAGAACCATCGGTGAAAAAGTGTACACCTCTTTTAGGTTTAGTTCAGCAGATTCTATTTTTTGCAGTTCCTTCTTCTCTTGTGGTCATTGAATATTTCTGAAATACGTGCGATGATAAAGAAACTGTCTGTTCTTCAACAAGCTCTGCCGTGTACGTATTTTGTTGTACACCTGGCGGCCATATTTGGAAGCCTTCACTTAAGCGACAATATTGGTTGTATCGGCATTCAACATGTATGATTCCATTGGAGAAATTCGGAAATGGAGACTAAGTGCTTATCACATCTGAATGATCCTGCTAGAGTTGTTCTGTTTTTTCAGGTATCAAGGTTGGATACCTTCCTCCGTTCATTCCGTACGACATATTTGCGCGAGGAAATGATACGTCTTCTGACTCAACGCCTGATTCGAGAGTTTTCGAAGTGTGTTGGCATTTCCAAGGTAGTTCCTTGTTTCCTTCACGCAAATGAACCACTGACCGGTAATAGATTCGTGTTCAGGTTATGGTTCCTTCTAGCGGTGATGATCTAGCTCGGTTAGCGATGTCACAGCTTTGCCTTGGACGCGGTAATTTTTTGCATGAACGCTTAGAGAATTTCGGGTAATGATCTGTAATGGTCTGAGGCTTTGCTATGCCTAGAGGCCATGAACGAACGCAGACGGTAAGGGACGCAATGTGGCTGTAACTGCAACTCGAATTTGTAGATCAGGGCGGAATTTCAAATTAGTTTAGAATCGGGCGGGAACACAAACCTAGGCGGAAATTGAAACTAACTTTCGAAGCTGAAACTTTGAAACTTTTGAAACTTTTAGTAATTTGTATTGCTTTTGTTTCGTGTGGTACCGCAAGGTGAGAAACTGAGCAAGAATCGAAAGACGAGCCGGTTGAGAGATGCTGTAATTTGTAAGTGTATTTGGCATCCTAGATTTCGTCGCACGCCAGTGCATCTGATACTACTGCATTGCTGCAATGCTGCAGCAATGCAGTAGTAAGAAGTATTCACGCTTATTGAACTTGTGTATTGTGCTGTATCCTGTAATACAAACAAATGCTCTACAAAGCAAACCAATGTTGAACCGTCACCCTTTGGTAACTATAAGACTTCAGTAGTCAACATACATACATTAAGGGTATGACTAGGGTTTACTAAGCCTTCATCCCTCAGGGTGCTGAAGATGGCACACTTAAAAGTATGTAGCCCCCTTGTACCACACCGTAATGTAGGACTTCAATGCTAAACTGTTCCTCTGACTGACACCTTTGTATTTCAAGTTGCTGTGGTGCTGCTGCAGCATACTGCAATACATAATGTGGAGATAGGTGGCTTCGAGTTAGGTGGCTCGTGGTGAACTTTGAATTGAGTTCTAGGAAAACTCATTAGCCGGCATTTTTTATTGATTCATTCTTTTACAGCTTTTTCAGGAGGCGCAGTGTCAGATATGACGGATGTAGTTGAGAACACCTCGCAAGGAATAACTTTGATACGACCATTAAGAAGTGTAAGCTCAAAAGAGATCGCGACCGCATTGCAGCTGGAGAATGTGGAGCACTACGTACTCCTGCCCCCTGTTCCTGTGAGTTTTGCCATTCAGAATTTTCCTTGTTGTGTTGTAACTCAACCTCAAACCAGACGTAGACAGAATACCTCCATCGACCTCAATCCAAAAAATGGACTGGACCCTGGATGAGTCGAGTTCCGGCCTATGTTTTTTAGAAGGGGTTTTCTGATTTCTGCATCGAATTAAAGCCGGCAGAATTCAGCGTTATCCGAGACGATCAGTGATCAGAAAAGTGAGAATAAGTAGGGTCCAAGCCGCATTGTCTGAGTGGGCATGGCTTGAGCTAAAATACGCGCCACTCGAATGGACAGAAGCAACGCCTAGCCAAATGGAAGCACATATCGGAACTAGAAGAGGTTCACAACACAACAATCCGTGATAGCCAGACGGGGCACCGAAGTAAGCAGAGCTAGGACCAAATTCTGCCCTGCTGTCCACAAACTTCTCAATGCAGGACAAAAAAGTGAACAGAAGCTTGCATACTAAAGACGACATGGTAAGTTAGAGGATTGCATACTAGAGACGACAAGTAATTTGGGAGCATATGACGGTGGATGAAGCTAAAACCTAAAATCGACAACCATTTTCAGAAGCGTTCCAAATTATGCACAGCACCGCACCACACTTGATCTGTCTTTCTCCCTTCAGACCCAGGATGGTAGGCCACGCTGCGGTGATTTTGGTCGGCACAAAGTTATATCGAACTGTTGTGTGATTGAGCATTTATTAATGTTCGCCGTTATTCACAGCTTCTTTCCTTTCGAGTGCGAAGTGTTCAAATTCTAAGAAAGTTGAAGAGAAAAGGTGGGAGTGTAGCTGTAGATATAATGTTCGGCAATGGTCAACTGATTTTGGTCATTGTCGATTCATACTACTCGATATTGAGTTACTTGTTATCCATTTTTTTCAAGCCGGTCAAGCCGAAAAGGGATGGAGTGACAGGCGTTATAAGGCATTACAACTTCAAAGCAAGAAGAAAGTCTAATTGTGCGATTGGTATTATACAATTATAAACAGTTAGCGGCGTCGTGGTGAATAATCCAGATGCTCTTTTAATAAAGCGTCAAAGAAGTGTAAGCTACCGAAGAGATCAAAAAGACGCCATCCGACGCGTTTTGGTCTGAATAAGTCGATCTTGAATGTGGTATATGTATGTGGTTTGCCACGATCACAAAGTAATTACGATGATTTTCAGAATGCTACAAATGCCTATTATGCTTATGAGGCGCGATCGAAAGGCTCCATTCAGGAAAGCACCTCACGATTCTTGAATAATTTACAGGAGGATGGGTTCAAGGTTTGCAGCCGTACTCTTCCCTACTCACTAGGAAAAAACGCAATAGCCAGTGTTAGGTCACATGCCAATGATGCCTTTTTGATGGCAGCAATGTAATGGGAAGATGCTACTTTTCAGGGCACCGTGCCAAACATACTCGGTGCAACCAGCAAAATTCATATCCGCAATAGCGGCCGCTTTTGTTCATTGTGCGAATGTTATTTTTGTGAAGAAGGTGCGTTGTGTTATACGTGCTCGAATATCATGAACGAGCTCCCATTTTCCATCGTTGATGTTTTTCCTCTTCGACTTCATTTTATGCCTTGTGATTAGTTCAAAATACGATCGTAATGACTGTGATAAAGAGGAACAAAAGTAATGGTAAAAGACCATTTCTGTTGTTCTTGTTATGAATACTCTAGGAACGATCTAACCACTTCCTTGTTTCGGTCATTGTTTTATTTGTAGAAGGCACAGCTCATGTTAATTTTGGTTTATGTGGTTCTGGACGAATATTGGCAGTGACAGTCCGTATTAGTGCAAAAGAGGAGATTGAAGTGCGAAAATTGGCGTATTTAGAGAAATATGAGGCTTCAAAAAAAGTAGTTGAATTAGGGGTTGGACGAGAATGTGGCGACAAAAGTTGCATGAAAGGGTCTCTAGACGAGCTATCCATATGTGTGACGTTGCGCACGCTATCTACAATAAGCTCCCTGTATGCAACGTGTGCGTCCCGATTCGAGTGTCTGCAGCCTTTACAACGCTTAAGGGCACAGTTCACAATGAGAATGATTTCTGAGTTTTCTCTCCAGGATTACCCAATAACCCCCAAAAGTAACAGGAGTACGCTGTCGGGTACGAAAACTCAACAGCTAGAGCATAGGGGGGGCCCCACTACCGAGTCGCCCGGATGCACGCCCACCGCCCTACGTCATGTCAGACGAGTGTCAACGCGATACAGATTGTAATATTCGCGTCAGGACCCACATGTTTAGCACGCAATCAGCTGATCACTGATTGATGGGACGACATTTTGTGCTATTCTATTATTTTCTGTTTTTTTTTTCCTTCTGCGGTCCTTTACTAGTTTTCTACTTCAAGGGCTTGAAAGAGGGGCTGTTTTTGCTGTTAAAAGTCTTTCATGATTTATGCTCATGAGTGAACGACTTTTAAAGAACATTTTTGCGTACTAAAGTCAGCCTTTTGCACCAGGACCAACATGTACTTAATGACACACATGCATAGCTCGTCCAAACAACATTTCTACTTCATATTTCTGGTCTCAATCTCGTCCAGCCCCCATTTTAACGGTTTTTCGAGGCCTCGTATCACTTTGGCAACACGGATCGCGCGCTTTCTTCGCCATCATCGCACCATTTTCTATCTCCCTTTCATTTTCTGTTATAATGTGTGTAACCCAAAATTATCGTGAACTGTGCCTTTAAGTGCACGGTTCAAGATAAGATTGGTTACTGAGTTCTCCCCATAGGAATACTCAGCGCCATCCATGGGTGGTAGAGGGGACCATCTCGCTCCTAAAAACTCGACGGTCAGGGCCCTGTTGCTGACTTGAGTCGCTTTCCCGCCTCTCGATCGATGTAACGTTGGACGAGTGTCGAGGTAATACAGATTGCTATTATTCGTTCTAGAACCCACACACAATCAGCTGACCGCCGAGTGATCAGGCGACGTCTTTCCCCCATTCTTTTTTCCTCTGTTATTCTTTTTGCTGCCGCGATCCCTTATCTAATTTCCTACTACCCCAAGGTTTTTTTTTTTGTTTACTTGTGCTTATAAGTTAATGAATTTTTGCTTACTGTAGTCAGTTATTTGCACCAGGGCCCACACGTACGCAACGTCGACGCACTGTGCTTAGCTCGTCCGAACGCCTCACTCTTCTTCATTCTTCTGGTCTCATTCTCGTCCAGCCCCTTTTTAACGATTTTCGAAGCCTTTTTTCAATTTGGAAACACCTATTCACGCGTTCTTTCGCCTCCTTTGCACTATTTTCCTTCTTATCTTCCATTTTTCGTCATAATTTGTGTTACCCGGAATTTTCGTGGACTGTGCCTTTAAGAACTCGGCCGCTTTGTGTGTGCACGTCGACTAAGTCGATTTGAGGGCTCTTATTATGCCCTACTTGGGCCACTTTTCGAACCGACAGTGACCCCTTATGCTATCCTTACAGTTCTTAGCTTCCTCCGAGAGAAAGCTCAGAAACCAATCTTATTGTAAAGTGCCTCTCACAGAACTTTACTGTTGTATTGACAGTATTTATAATTACGTCAGCAGTTTTTGAACACTCATTGTAAATAATTTTCATGATAGTTATGCCATGTTATTGAGATTAACTTTAACAGAATGCTCACTGTCTATGGAAATTTTTCTAGTATGTACTATCTTATCGGCAGTATTCACTGAGCATGTTTTCGAAGTTGTTGAAACCTTAAGAGAAATATTACGTGATATAATGCTGTTAGTCATAATGGTACGGGACTAGTGGTGACTGAAAGCCGGGATTTGCCTGTTGTGGTCAGTCAAGTGAAGTGAGCCATCGCTGCAGTACTCATTACTCTTTACGGCCATGATTGATATCGATATCGTGTGATAGTTCTGATGAGCTTTATCGGGACTTCGAAGTGAAATGCATGACAAATACGGTTTCAAAGTACTAATATTTTTTCGATTCTTGAAACGTTTTGAAGGCGTTTAGGTGCCAGAGACAAGCGAAACGAGCTCATGCATTAAGAAATTGAATTTGGTGCTATATCTACCGGTCCACCAAATTACCAACTGCGCCACCGTTGCACATCTAAACTTTGCTCGATTCGGTAATCTGCTCGGTACAGTGGTATAAGACAAGGAGAAATTGGACCCATAACATTGTTCCCAGAATCGTTTAGCAGATTTGGAACACAGGTTTGAGATCAACGTTCGAAACCCCCTCTTCCTGCGATACACATCACATCTTGAATGGCCCTTGCCACCAATATCTTTCCCTTGTTAGTGTGAACGAAACCGTTCACATTCCTTTTTGCATAGATTTGAGATAGTGTCGGGAGATCCTTAAGTGTAGTGGGAAGTCGTGTAAAGGTTGAATGGGAAGCTGGGATTTCCTCACGGCGCTGCTCACTCCATGAGCCATTTCATCGTTAACAAAAGCCGTTACGAGGCTCATCTTGTCTGTCGTTCTGTGCGAGATCCAGGTCACCCAGAGAATCCGTTATTTTCTGGATTACTACCTATGTGTTCTAAGTTTCCCCTCCGTTTTTGAAAGGTCTCGCACATTGTCTTAAAGGCACAGCTCACGATAGAAATTTCCCCACAGGGTGGATTTGAGGCCCCCGCGTATTATGCCATATCTGGCACTATTAGGTTTAAAAACGGCCTAGTCAGGGAGATATAAAGGCCCAAGGATTGATCCGTGTGTGTCCTTTGGGCGAGTTCCACCGGCATTGTAGAGGCTGCACCGATCACAAGGGATCCCATGTAGTAAATTCAAACGTTAGCTCTTCACGCAATTGCAATAACTGAAATCTCGTCCAATTGCCCCTTCCCTGTTATTGCCGTCATGGTAATCTCGTCCAACTTCTATTTTCCCTGCTTTTGAGGAGCCATAATTTTCTCGAAATCGGCGAATTCTCTCGCTCTCTTCACTGCCCATGAACTATTCCTGGTCTATGGTTCCGTTTTTCGGATAAAACGGGTACCTCAAATCGTGAACTCGTCCTTTAACATAAATTGCATGAGTGCTTTCAGAATGCAACAAAGTGTTTGATGAAGCTCTTTTCGAATGCCTCAGTGTGTTCCTTGAAACCTTCACCATTTCATACCTTCATAGAAACGGTGGAAATCCATTCCTCTCTCGATCTTCCCTTGTGGAAGTTATGTCGGCGTTGAAAGAATGGAACTTCTGCACAGATTACACGAGGTGTGCTTCCATTGTTACATAAGCGAAACATCATCAGTACAACATCTGTCGTGCAGAAGTCTTCTGGTTGTGACAACTTTTCCATATGGTGCAAGAAAATGAGTGCTAATGGTGGGGCTATGAGATACACAAAAATAGTGCTCTAGTGCTGTTTTGACCACGTACTCTGAAACGTCGCTGGCGAAAAACCTCATGGGCGTGATGAGGATTTCATGATTTTTCATAAGAGATGACAAAGTCTGGTGTAGTATCCCTACATACGAATATGACTTACGCGTGACGTGAGTCATTCAGTGCGTTTCATAATTATAAGGTCACCTTCAAATTTTCCACTTTCGGAAGAAGTAATCATTCAGGGTTCTTTTCTAGCATCATGAACGGATCCCCCAGCACGAATAACCTAGGTATCCGTTTTTAGTAGCAGCTACGTTTTTCTGAACTTTTTTAGAACTGTTTATCGGTTTTTGTATCGTTTCATAATTGTAAGGTCACCCTGAGAAAGTGAGCAATTATTCATGGATGAGAGGAAATTTTGTGTTTGAAGATATTCATAAAGGTAAGCATGTGTAGCACATGTGTTTTCTAAACCTGACTGTCAACATGGCTCATGGTCGTCTGCTTTCCTCTGATGAGAAGGCTCAAATTCGGGCTCCTCATGAAGCTGGGCTCTGTAAGCGAGCCGTTTCCAGGCAAGTGGGGAGATACCTCTTCCATCCAAATATTTCTGTAGAGCCCTGATGTCCCTAGATGTGACACTAGCTGTGGACGCCCACGCAAGGTTACTGTCCGTGACGAGCGAAAGATTCTGAGGGCTGTTTTCACTAGTACGTCTTCCTTAAACCAGATCCGATCGGAATTAAACCTCTCTGTGTCGAGGACTACAGTCTGGAGAGCAGTAAAAAGATGCGAGAACACCACCAGGCAAGCAATGAAGGAGGCGCCACGAATCAACGATCGCCACAGAGAAGCTCGACTCGAAATTGCAAAGATGAATCTAGGGAGAGATTGGGCAAAGGTAGGTCTGCATCAAAATCTCACAATAGAGCTGAATAATTCCTATTCAGATCGTCTTTTCGGATGAAAAGATATCAATCTGGTTGGTCCTGACGGAAACAAGCGA